TCTGTCTCTCTCTCTCTCTCTCTCTCTCTCTCTCTCTGACTCCTCATCGTCTGTTTTTTTGGCCAAGGACCTGAACGACAATATAACCCATGGATCATCATCATCCGGTGCCTTTCCGACTGGCGTGGCCGATCATGGACCTCCACTTTACTCTGTCTTGCGTTGCAGCAATGGTGTATGTTGTTTTTGCTGCTCCCAGCCATGTTGTCATCTTGTCCACTATCTTTTCCCTGTCTGTCTCTGCCTCTCTTTCCATCAAACTCGTCTGTTGTTACAGTATTCTCCAATGCTTCTTTCCGCATTGTGTGTCCGAAGAAATTTGCCTGTCGCTTTCGTATATTCGTTATAAGCTGTCTTCTGCAATTTTCTTCAACCAAGACTTTTTCATTTGTTTTTTCTAGCTGTCCATGGGATACGCAGTATGAACCACAACTCTTATCGCCACAACAGCCCAAACCTGCACGGCCTGACCCTTAGGCTTTCTCGGTATCCTCAGGAAGCCTAGCCTGGCCCCTATAACTAACCTCTGACCCCTCTGATCCTCCCACAGGGTATGTTCCTGGCCAAGGCGCTGTACGACAACATCGCGGAGACCCCCGACGAGCTAGCGTTCCGGCGCGGGGACGTGCTGACCGTGTTGGAGCAGGAGCCTGGGGGCCTGGAGGGCTGGTGGCTGTGCTCTGTGCGCGGCAAGCACGGGATAGCGCCGGGCAACAGGCTCAAGATTCTCTCCGGGATGTCGCCGGGGGAGGCGGGGTCCAACAACGGCAGTCTCAATCAGGTAGGTGGCTGGCTGCTTGTTTGTGGTGTAGCTCATGTGTTGGGTATAGTGTGTGTGTGTATGTGTGTGTGTGTGTGTGTGTGTTTGTAAGTCCGCGCTCTGTCTGTCTGTGTGTGTGTGCGTGTCTGTCTCTCTCTCCGTCTGTCTCTCTCGGTCTGTGTATCTGTCTGTCCGTGTTCTGTTTGTCTCAATCTCTTTGCCTGTCTGTTTGGTTTTGGTTGTTTGGTTGTTTGTTTTTTTGTGTGTTTTTTTTTGCCAATACTCTTAATAACCCACTTTTTCTCCAGAGCGGAGATGTGTTGTTTTTGTTGTGTGTTTTTTTTTGGGGGGGGTTGTTTGTTTGTTTTTGTTCATTAGAAGTCTATCTCATACTCGCTCATTTACACTCATTCCCATTCCTTTCTCATTTTCCCTTTTTTTACTCCCCCTCAGTTTTTCTCTGTCTCCCCCGTCTCTCCATCTCTATCTCCCCTCTCTCTCTTAACTAACCACAAGACCCACAAACAAACAAAGAGAAAACCTACAACAGACCAAACACGCTGTAACTGAAACCCTTCCCTCCCTCCTTACGTGAGTGCCCATACCAGCTCACTCATTAGATGGCGACCATCTTGTCCCACATTTCTCGCCACGAACTGTTATGACGTCACTGGCTTTCATGTCCTCACATCTTGATGCAAAAGTCACGTCCAGTATGCCCCTATCTCTTTCTCTATCGTCTCTTTTCTCTCTCTCTCTCTTTTTTTTTCTTTCTTTCTT